GAGAAAAATGAAAAAATCAGAAATCTAACCACGTCTTACTATATTTTAATTAACTTCATTAGAATAGGTGCTAATAATTTCAAATTTGTATGACAGGTAGAAGAGAAGAAGAGCTTCAAACTGGTGTGTTTTCTACCTGATTAAGACTTATCGTTAATTAGCAGAGGTTTGTTTCAGAAAACTCCATGTATTTGAATGAACCAGCCGAAATTACCCCAAGCAAAATAGCTTGGAGGTTCCTGTCTCCTTTTGAACACTGGTCGAAAACGGAGAGGGATTTTTAGGAAATTTTTACATCAGTGCATAGAGAACTGTTAGTTCTATCTTCATATTCAATAGCACGCTTATCCGATTAGAAACGCCTTAGAAATACACAAAATACTAAGCAACTTTGTGCAAGTGGCCGGAATTACCCCATCTAACTCTATATGAACAGGTTGAATGTGATAAAGAACAAAATCCTTCTCATGAAAAGAATAAATATACGAACGTCTTAGAAAAATTTCAACAAGCACTTAAACTTATTAAATGGACAACAATGGATAGAGAAAAATCATGAAAAAAATAAGAAGAAAAATTTTATAAATCAAAATTTAGTTATTAGAGAATTAAAACAATTTATATTTGATACCAATAAGAAGTGAAACGAACTGTCAAAAGAAACGTCACTAGAATCAGCAGCAGTAACATCATTTACACATTTTAAAACAAAGTGAAATATCAAGTTCTATTAGAAATGTAGATAAAAGCATTTCAAAATTATTATAATGATAATGAAACACAAAGATGACACTGTATAAAAAATCTACGCAATTAATACCTTCGCATTTGCACCGAGGCAAACTACTGACAGTAAATATATTTCGAATTTTAAAGGAGAGTATGGAAGGACAAGGGCTTATATCTACGAATGTGGATTTGTATGAGCAAGTTTTAATCCAAATGTTGCTGACAGATAAGATAAAAAGAACTTTGAAGGTAGTCTTCTATTGAAACCAACTTTTTTCGCACCGCTCATGACTAAGCTATCTCAAATCATTTTTATATGTTAATGATCTTCGATGTCCCGTATCGCTTGAGAATCTTTTCTATTCCATTTAGACTTTATCTTTCGTACTCAAGAAAAACACAGAAAAAATATTCATTTAGTTAAAACATAACAGTTATTTTTATGATGCTACAAAAAATTCGTTCCATTTGGGTTTATAGTTAGAACAACCAAATTATTGTTTTCCTAATCAGCGTCAGAAACTGATCGAAAAACAAATTTTCAGATGCTTTCTAGAGGTCAACGTATACCGGGCATGGACGCGAGAATGGACTGATGAATTAACATTTTTGTGTCTTTCATGCGTTTTATGGTTTATTCGATTGAACTGAAATTCTTATCACAGATTCTATCTCAAATTCGAAAGCATTCGAAAATATGCTTTCTCTTTAGAGATATTTAAATGCTACTATAAACCTTGTATAAAAAATCGGTTTCTTTTGTTTTGAAAACCTGCTCACGCCGAAAGTTGAAATTGAAAACGCTTAACAAATTTCGAATCTAAGATAGAACCTGTGATAACAATTTCAGTTACAACAAGAAAAGCCCTAAATGGCCATTGTCAGCTCAAAGATACAGAAATAGGAAGAAATTAATTTAGGACTTTTGTTGTAAATTCTGTAACTTTCTAAAGAAAGGTCATGTAGAGCTGGAAGACGTCTCATTTTAATCAGAAATGTGCGAGCTATAATTATGCCTCATTATGAAAGGTTTTGATTATTTTTTAGAATTTTTCAAAAACTGGTTTTGCAGAAAACCGAGACTCCAAGAGCCATGAGCAAAAATCCTTCTAGGCTTTTTACCAGCTCGATGTGCTCTATAAAACGAGGTATGAATGAAGGAAATCGGAGTTGGGCACCTGGGGCAGTTCCCTCGTGAGTTTCCTACACCATCAGAAATTAGTCCGCGAATTTTTCTTCGTTTCGTGTTGGGTTGAACTTCGTGCTCAATACCCAAGGGGGAAAAAGCATACTTCTGTACTTCTGGTACTTCTCCGTACTTCTTGATACTTCTTCGTACTTTTTTGTACTTCTCCGTACTTCTGAAGTATGAAGTACGAAATACGAAATCCCGTATTTCATACTTCGTACTTCAGAAGTACGGAGAAGTACAAAAAAGTACGAAGAAGTATCAAGAAGTACGGAGAAGTACCAGAAGTACAGAAGTATGCTTTTTCCCCCTTGTCAATACCTCACGTTAATACTGGGATAACTATAACAGGAAGATTTTGAAAATACACAGCTTAGCTTTCTGCAAAAAATCGGTTTTTCACAAAATCCGGACTTTAATCTGCTATGGATCAGTTTTTTGCCGGTTTAGTACCGGTTGAACTACGCATTAAACCGGCCGGTAAACTGGCCGGTCCGGTTAGGAAAAATTCAACCGGTTCCAACTCTGGTGTTGTGTCTCTCTACTTATACTGGATCCAACGATGCTGGGTATGTCTGAATTGGTCTTTCCAAATCTGGTCTCTATGAACCCAACATGAATCTGCAAACCAAGAGATTGTAATGTGGTCAGCTGGTGAGCTCATCGAGTCACACACATAAAAAAATTTTCTTAGCTATTCGACAACTTTTACCGGAGTTACAGAAGTTAAACTGATCAGTATAATGAACAGTTCGAACAGCTCATTGAAGTCTTCGTTGTTTATCGCCTACTCTGTAAATTCTAACTGAATTTGAGCCAAAATGAATGCTTTTATTGAAAAAATGTCTGAAGTGCTCCCTTTCTGATGTAAAAGAGAGAAATTTTCTCACCGGCATAAATGCCGATTTAAACTTTTTCTCAGTGACAACATGACGGTTGTAATCGATTTAAAATATTATTTTATGTTTGAAGAAAGAAACTAGAAAGATTTGCGAGATGCTCTGTTACAATTCAAGAATTTCATTCATGGTTAACGGATTCATTGGTCATTCAAGATTTTATCTGTAACAAATTTAGTTATTGTATACTCAGTTTTACATATTGAATCAGAATAAAACAGCTTTGAAAGTTAAAAAGAAGGATAAAGTAACAATTTTACTTATTATGAAGATTTATCAGTTTTTAAGAAATTTTAAAAATTCGTATAAAAATCGTTTTAAAACAATTCAAATTTTTTTTACAGTTTTTCTACCTAACTAGATGAGCTCTAGTCAACTATGTCTAAATAAAACAAAAACAAAGTTTTGTTTGGTTTTTGAATTACTGGCAAAACATCACTAATTCGAAGTTATATTTTGTTTTTAGCTTTTTACATACCATTCAATAGAGCTGGTCGAGCTGATCAAGAATATAGTAGTTTTAGTCTTCCCAGACCGAATTTTCAATACAAGAAATTCAAAAACTTTGCGAACCCAAATTCTGAAAAATCTTTCAGTCACGGAAAGTTCAAATATTTTTTCCTGATTTTAGTTTGAAGGAGAAATGGATTGGTATTCAGAGGCTTATCAATATAACGTGACTGAAAAAACATTCGTAATAGGATGAACCAAAATGGCGCAAACATTTTTTGCAAACCTATCTAGTTTTTTGTGGCAAGATCTGGAATCTTGATTCACATGCCATTGTACTTTCAGAGATAGGTTTCTGACGGGACGGTATGCTTAATGGATTATTGTTATCTTTTAATGTACTTAAGAGAGGATCCGTGAGAGAATCGAGCATATCATAAGAGGGATGTCACATGAAAAATTTTAGATTTCAATCTAACTACGCCCATTCGACAGCTCATGTTGAGAAACCTCTATAGCCAGATTTTTAGGCCAAACAAAACATTTTTCACCGAGACATCTGATTTCCAAAAAAGGACTGTTTTCAATTTTTCTTAGTTTTCTAAAAAAATCGAGCAAGTGGCATTTCGCTTCTTTCTCTGCCATTTTGCGATCAATTTTTTTGAGCAACGTCTCATTTGAAAGAAAAAGAAAACTGAAGAAGATGAGATACTTTTTACGTCTCGCACATTACATATAGGAATCCAAAAAGTTCAAAAACTTCGAAAAGTCCAAAATGGAAAAACTCATTTTTGGGCTTTTTTGAAAGAATTACATTGTTGATATATTTTCGGCACAAATTTTATAAGTCTACCTTGTAGAAAATTTTTTTCTCTACAAGTTGCACTACAGTCTGTTTTTTTAAAAGATCTGGAAAGTGCTGAAAAATGTAAAATACTGTGGGTGACTACGAAAGGCTAAAAATGGAAAATTCAATCAATCTTTTTTCCTGCTTGTCATTCATAAATAAAGATGAGACTAAGGTAGGAAAGGTTCAGAGCCCCATGACTTGAGGTTTCGGAGCTGATTCTAATTCGATTTTTGTTGATGAAAATCTCGTCATGAGACATAATCAATCGTAACACAAAGAGATCAAGATGCACATCTTCTCTCCTCCTCTTCTGTTCTTTCATCGAAGTTGGCCATTATCTTATCTGCTCGACAGTATTTTCTTCTCGGTCCCCTCCTGACGACACGTACTCGCAAAATGGCAGAGAAAGAAGCGAAATGCCACTTGCTCGATTCTTTTAGAAAACTAAGAAAAATTGAAAACAGTCCTTTTTTGAAAATCAGATGTCTCGGTGAAAAATGTTTTGTTTGGCCTAAAAATCTGGCAATAGAGGTTTCTCAACATGAGCTATCGAATGGGCGTAGTTAGATTGAAATCTAAAATTTTTCATGTGGCATGAATTCTCGATGGGCTGGTGGACCCTCTCTTAATAATTTTTGATAGTATTTTTCAGCTTTATCTAATTCACCCATTCGAAATAAAGCGTTACCTGGTTCAAATAGATTTATACTTTTGTCTACTTGTTCTTTCATTGATCTATAAACATCTTTCAATTGATAATCTTGTTCACTACATAATTCTAATTTTATTATCCAAATTTGTTCTTTTGAATCATGATCAACATATTTTAATTTAAATAATGATCCTATCATAAATAAGGAGTTTATTTTCACCTTTAATAGCAATTAAGGGCTCCTCCCCTCAGAAATTATCTCCGATACCGTACATTCAGTCTGGACGAAACTTTCAATAAATGTTTGGCTTAATGAGTTACGGGAATGAAAAATGTTTTTTGTTTCCAATTCTTATCGTTCAGGAGTTTTCCAGAGATCAAGGTCCAAAAAGGACCCTGATGTGTTTCCCAAGGTTTTTTAACATACTTCAAGCTGAAAAGTTCGGGTTTGTTTTGTTTTAAGCCAGACATCTAACTACATGGTCTGACCGGCGCCGATTTTTCAATTATACCTTTATTCGTTTTCCAGGCAACCACCAACCTCCAAAATCCGGAAACTCCTTCCGATTTTCTATAAATCCTTAATTTGATAAAAAACTAAGACTTAATTCAAAAGTCGGCGCCGGTCAGAGTTTCCTTTCCTCTTTTAAACAAAAAAAGAATAATCTCTCTATGACAAACCGCTGTAAAAAGTCTTGGGAAATACTTCAGGTGTAACTCTTATATAGCGAAAACGCTATGTTAAACGCTGTATGAAATACTCGATTTTAGAACTTCAAGGAAAATGCCTGTTTGATGCAGAGTCATACAGAGTTTTGGAGGTCTTATGTTGATCATAAACGTTTGCTCTACAAATCTGTGTGTTTAGAAAAATATTAATTGCATTAGTATCCAGGAAAAACCTATTATTTGAAGATTCAGTCTTTCGAGGCTCCTAGAAAACTTGCTCAAAATCCGGAAAAAATCACTTTTATAACCAAAAGCGATACAGAATCTGAAAGGAGACACTACAGATTATCTTCCCATGACTATCTCAAAACCGATGTTTTGACCGAAAATCACCATTTCTGAGGGGGAGGCCCTTAAACGCTATATCCCAAGCAAATACCGCTTATGGGAAAAATCTAGATACATTTCGTCTGTAATCGGGCGATACGTGACTAGTTACCATCTAGATTACTAAATGGAAAAGGGACTTTTAACTAGATGCGTCTGTAGATGCATCTAGTAATAGTTAAAATCGATCGATTATCGGGCGATAAAATCGATAGTTGCAACTAGAAAAAACATTTTTGCAACCATACGATCTTTTGATGTTGAAAATAGCCTATTCACTGATATAATTTGTCCTTGACATTTTGTCATTTTATTTAATTCTTGATTGGATATTATTTGTCCTCGATAAACTTTAATTATAGTATTATCATCAAAATATTGATGTTTATTTAGTTCTAAATATAAATCGGGAATTAAAAATTAGAATAAAAATAATGTATCAATATTTTGTTGTCTTAATGCTTTATTTAATATACGATAAATAAATGGTTCTTTAGTATACCAATAGTTATTATTCATATGTTACGTGATTATTTTTTTGAGGATTAACAATCGACCTATTGACTATTTCAAAGTTGTAATTATGAACAAGAATCATAGTGGATGAAACAAAATTGATATCATTATATCTAAATGTTAGCATAGATTGATTGTGATGGTGTATAAGTTGTTAAAAATTTATTTAATTTATCTAATTGAGTGTGATTTTCTTTGTAGTATTGTTTTAATACTTCAATTAAATTTCTCATTGATGTTTTATGTTGATCATCATTTTCTTCCATTTGTATTAAAACATGAATAAATAATTGAAACCATACAAAATTACCATTTTCAGATGAAAGATTTTTATGCGTTTGATCCTGTTTAATTGATGGATCAAACATATTCGCTGAAAATTCATCTGCAAGTTTATCTCATTCCATCTGATCAATGGAAATTTGATTAATTAAATTATTGGAATTTATAATTATACCCTTCACCTATTAGTAATAAAAATTAATTCTTATACAGAACTTCTATACTCAAAGACGTTTGGTGAACTTCAACTACCATCATAGCAACAATCGTCATCAGTTGAATATTTAACAATCAAGAACAGTGATTTTCGCTTCAGTGAATTAAGATCATTATTTGCCTATATGCCTAAACTAAAATAGTTAAATCTAAATTTAATTAACAAAGGAGCTACCCTGTCGTTACCACTACTAAAATCATGTCGAATTTCAGTTAATCAAGCCCTATATCGCTTCAGATCCAACTAGAAGTATTTTTGAAACCACTTTTACAAGAAGATGTCAGTCAGTTTCTTTCATTATTTTATACTGTACTGATCATTCTTTTGACTGAAAGTCAACTAGGATCATAAATGAAAAAAAAATGTCTGTATGTTCGTCTAAAACATCGCGGACGTAACGAAGAAAAATTGCGAACAGAAGAGTTATAGACATATATCTAAACATGCAATAGAATTCGTATACGTTGCACGATTAGCAATAAGACTTTGAAAAAAGATAAATACTACTAACGGCAACACAATGAAGGATTTGATACATAGCGGTGCTATCAATGTGAAAATGTTGAAAAGAGTGAGAATTAATTGGAATCAAGTAGAAAGAACAAGACAGAATGTTCATTAGACCTATGGCATTAATTGATCCTCGCTAGCAAGACTGAAGTGAGTCACTATGATGAAAGTTCATTTTTCAGAAAAGATTTACAGCAGCAGTCATGTGATTGTGTATTTGTAAGTTCCAAGACATTGCTGTGAGACCTTGGGATTGTATTGTAAAATGTGTAACAAGTCTACTTTTTTAAAAGCCACTATGTCAACGATTCAATGAATTTTTTTATTTTAAGCCTTGTCAAGTTTTAGAACAAGTTTAGCTCTATGACCTATATTTATAACTAATCGTGTATATTAAGAGAGAAGATATATTCTGGATTTATCGAGATATTGACACATATCCAGCAATCTATGTTCAACATAAACAAGAAGCGAAAAAATGGCGGAACTGAATAACGATAAAAACTCTTACAAATTTATTCATTCGATCAACTAACAGATGAAAAATATTTAATACGAAAAGGACAAAACAGATGAGAAAAATATCCGATGATCAATACAAGAAAAGTATTGAGGACTTGTTTGATTTCTTTATAGATATTGATAATCGATTCTTGACTCATTTTAA